GTCCTTACAGATGCTTCTCCCTGGTCCAGTCAGGCCAGTCAGGCTATTAATACTGATGGCTGCCCAGTTTCAGTAGAGAGAACAGTAGCACGCATTTCATTGTAAAGGTACAGGAACGAAGACACTGAAGGCTAAGTGATTTGCTCGAAGACTATATATTATTCAGAATTTCTGACTTAAGTCAAGAAGTAGATTCACCAGTTTATATTTCTTTCCATGAATTTATAATTAACTCAATATGTTACAAACTGATATCTAAACTTTTTAGATCCTGCATCCCATAAGCAAAAACAAGCGCAGGGTGCTTTTCATAATGCATATGGTACCGTAATATGGTATTATTTGTATATCATTTAGTAGTTGTATATAAGTCCTACTATATTACTGTCTTTTATGCACAGTAAAACAGACATAAAAATGTACATTAAAAAGAACAGAGGTTTTTAAAACAAATGTAAATGCAATTTTCACATTTATTTGTGAAGTGAGGGAAGGCACGGACCCCTGGGGTGTGTGTATCCTACTTTGGGGGCCATTGTGCTACCTTCTTCATTTTCAATTATATATACTAAAGATATTCTCAGTCAAAAATTAGAAGACATTTATTAACTACTGTTCGTATCGTATTTTCTCAAAATGTTCATAAATAAAGCTGAAAAAAAATCTTAAGTATTAAAGACTCATGTGAGAGACAGTCATACTGTTTAGATATTGACAGTTCTATTTCAGAGGCATGAAAAATTCCACTAGGGGTAATGAGAAAATTTCTTGAAATTGTTTTGAGGAGTCAGAAATTTTGCTTATAATTATGCCACAGTTTGTAAAATTATATCCCAGGGAATGGCCAGCCTCATTTGTTATTTTATCTTCTCTTTCCTATTTCCACTTTCCTTTGGTCCCAATGTCTTCATTTACTTATTTAAAGTTTAAATTTTGCGCTACTGTATCTATCTTCAGATATTGATAAGCCTTCTCTGGAATAAGGTAAGATATAGCCAGACTACTAAAACCCTTAGCGCATAGTCCCCCAAGTGGGTAGAATGTCCCCCCTTTAAAGCAGCCCGTGAGGAAACGCATTCCTTCTCCCCGAGCTCCGCCTGAGGAGAAGCGTGGTGAGGCCTCCGCCATCACGTAAGGAAACGGAGCTGCAAGGCGGCACAGCCACGGCAACCGAAGGAAACGGCCAACGCAGGGGCGGCAGCGGGACGGACGCCCACCCTGCCGCCGCAGCGCCACGCTGCCTTTGCCCTCGAGGTGCCTTCTTCCAACTCCTCATCGCTTTTGTGTCTAATGCTAAACGTCCTTCCCAAATCTGTGTGGCCCTGTTGGGAGTGGGGTTCCTCTCAGGAGACCTGAGTCCTGAGAACCTGGGTCCCCACGCTGGTTCCTGCTGCCTTTAGGTGTGTGACTTCTGTCAGGTTACTGAACTTCTCAAAGTTTCAGGGCTTTCTTCAGTAAAATGTGTCACTCATGCCTGCCTGGCTGACCTCACGATGACTGAGCCGAGGGAGGTGACAGTGCTGTGCAAACTGTAAAGAGCAGGTACTGCTGCCATCATTTCTGCTGTGTGTGGGGCTGGGCATACTGCTGCTCCAGGGAGACATGTGATTTTATTATTTGCTAAAGAATGCTAAAAATATCTTCCTGGGAGCTTCAGTGTAAGCAACATACCAGAAGGATCAAAATGGCATGGAAAAGGTATCATACGTAAGAACTAAGTGCTATTTTCTTAATCAAGCCTTCCCATTAGGGTCAGCAGGACGTGAGGGCATATAGTTGAAGCAGGGAACTTACGTGCCAAAGTGACTGAGGAAAGCAGCAATATACTCTCTTCTTTTGTGATACCCTTGAATCACATACTGCACCTGGAATAGGAATGTAAAGCTGAGAAGTGGAGTAGGAAATTTTTAAATGCTTAATTATGAAAAATTTCAAAGATTCAGAGAAGTACAAATAGTGAAATTAACACCCCTATTGCCACCACCTATATTCAACAACTGAACATTTTGTCGAGTTGCTTCATCTAACCATCTACTTACCTATCAATCTATCAGTCAATCTTACTAAAACATTTCAAAGGAAATTAGAGACATCGTGATGGTTCGTCCTAAATACATCAGCAAGCATCTCCCAAAACAAGACATTTTCCCGCATAACCACAGTATCATAATCATACCCAACAAATTTAGCAATCATTCTCTGAATTCATCTAGTACACTGTCCTTTTTCAAAATTTCCCAGTTGTCCCCGAAACACTTTTTTTTAAAAGCAGGATATAATCAGGGACCAGGCAATTAAATCGAGAAAGTCTTTTCATCTAGAACAGGGGTTGGCAAACTGTGGCTCGCGAGCCACATGAGGCACTTTGGGTATGTACACATGGCTCTGAAGTAAAATTGAAGATGAAAATAAAACTATCATAGTTTCATTTATAAAACTTTTAAAGGATATTATTCACATAATGGTGATTTCATTTATTTTATGGCTCTTGAATAATTTTTAAATTGTTGTGAGGGACAGGATTGGCTCTTTCATCTCAAAAGTGTGCCGGCCCCGATCTAAAATAATAGTACCTCTGGGGGTGTGGGTCCGTGTGTCTAAGTGTGTGCCTGCACATGCATACACGACATTGACTTTTCAAAGATACTGGGCTAGTTATCTTGTAGAATGTTCTACAGTCTAGATTTTCTGATTGTTTCCTTCCTTTTTCCACTACCCTCTGTATTCCCTATAAATTGGAAGTCAGAGCTAAAGCTGTGATTAGATTCAGGTTAAATATTTTTGGCAACAAAGCTTCATAGGTGATACTGGGTTTGATCATCAGTTATGGTGATGGTGGCCAGAACACTCCACTGTAAAGAGTTGTTTCCCCTTGGCATAGTGGGAAATCCATGAGTCTCCCTTGCGAAGTGTGTGAAGATCTAGCTCCCCACCAACCTTTCACCTGATGGTTTTAGTATCTGTTGGAGATCTTTGTCTGCATCAATTATTTCATTAGGGCCTGAAAAAACGGTGATTTTTTTAATTGTATCATTCCATCTGCATTTATCACCTGGAATTCTCTGTAAAAAAGGCCTTCCTCTTATCAAATAGGGCTATTTGGTTATCTGGAACCACAACTCCTATTGAAAAGGCAGGACAATGCTTAATTCTTTCTTTTTAAATTCCTAATATTCAGAATTAGGAGTGTTGCAATAGGAGAGTTTGTTTAGCCTTTTTATATTTCCTTGTTATCACCAAATGACAGATTCTATAAAAAGTTGTGAACTCAGTAAGCTCGGCATCTGAAAGTCAGTCATTTACCCATCAGCTTTTAACACAAAAATACATTCCTCATGATGTCTTTATAATGGCTGCAAGAAATAGTGGGAGAAAGAGACCCTCAAAATTGTTTATACTGGCTATAGCCACAATGAGTTTCCATGGCTAACAAAAACTTGAGATAAAGTGCTTGAAATAACTTTGACACAATTGGTACTGATAGTCACGTTGCAGCCTTTAAAAGTAAAACAATTCTATTTCTATAATAGGGATTTATGTCAATTTATAAAAACAGTGCTTACTTTACAGGCTTAATGCAGGATCAGAAATGTTATTTTGGGAAAAGAAAAACAGATGATAAGTTTGCTTAAGTGGCTTTGTTTAAAAAGGGGATGAAAACAGTTCTGTGTACTTGATTTTAAAAACAGAAAACCATTTTAACAGAAACCCACAACAAAACTGGCTATAAAGATAGATTCCAATGTAATTATGGAAATTCATTTGACGGGATTGTTTCTAAAAGCAGCCATACTGTCCTCGTTTGTAGCAAGGAGAAGAGCAGCAATTTTAAGACAAGTGAAATTAATGAAAGGGAACCAGATAAGAAAAACGAACTGATTCTTACATTTCTGGGAAAACAGAATTAATAATTTTTTTGAGGACAGTGTATGACTAGAAATTAATCTCACTTGGAGGGCTTTAAAAAGGCTTTTCTTCTTGGTTCTGGAAAACCAAATTTGCATTTTTCTCTATAATACTAGGCCACAGATTTGAAGGCACTGCAAAGTCCCACAATGTAAATAAGAATTCTGTCCTCTGATCAGTTTGGTAGGAGGGCGGAGGCTGGGGAAATTTGGTCCAATGAGAAGCAACCACTCCACGAAGTTAAATACCCTGGAACCTGTGCCAAGCCCACAGATTGCCGAGTTGCCAGATTTTAGTTTCTCTGACATTTAAAACATAATACTGAAGCCTTTGAAATATTATTGTACTTTTAAGATATTTCTATGTAGAGATGAGCTATCTTTTGAATGAAGGAGACAGACAAAAGGTTTATTTTCTAAGCCAATGTGAACAAGTCAACAGGAGCAAAGAAAACAGCACTTTGGTAATTAAGCAAAGTGTGTCAGTCCATGTGGAGAAGAAAGAAAGTCAGTGTTGCTTGTGGATTCATATCTCCAGTCTTTAGCTAAACACACTGGCTGGACACACTTTTTAGAAATATCTGACAACCATTAATGCAAAACCCAGCTAGCTTCTTGCCAGTGTGATGGCTCATTAATGCAGCTGAGAGGAAGCTTCAGGTAATCTGATGTGCCTGGCTACAAGACCAGCTGACCTGGAAACCTCGGCCCTACGAGCAGGACTCTAGAAACTGCCCCTAGACATGACAGAGAGAATCAAGAACAATTAAAAAGTGAGGTACCCAAAAGCAGCAAGAGATGAAGGCAGCTCTATAGAATTACCCTAATATTAACTAGACACACACACGCACACACACACACACGCGCGCACACACACACACACGCGCACACACACACGCACACGCACAAGATAATTGAAAAATGAAGTGCAAAACTTTTAAGCCATAAGAAGGTGTAAGATTTAGCACATAATTAGGGCATAATGGAAATTCAAGAAGGAGGAGATACACACTTAGAAGATGAAGATAAGACTGGAACAGGAGGTCAGGATCCTTAGAAAAGGAAGAAGGTAGGCAAAGAAATATGGAGAGAAACTAATGAATTGTATCCAAGTAGGAAAGGCCGATGTTAAAAGGAGGTTGAAACGAAGCAGATGGGGTGAACAGGATGGTGCTTGCATGACAGTGCTGGGTGGGTGCTACACGGGAGAGAGGCGCCCCACAAGGCGGGGACCGGGGGCCCTGCTTTTACCTTGTTGGTGAGCAGGTGGCATACTTGAGGGACGTAATCGATGAGACATCCTCCTCCTGGGAAAGCCGGAATATGAAGAGCCGAGGAGCCTCCGAGTGCACTGAAGGGACAAGGGGACAAGGGACACTTCTCTTAGGGCTCAAGCAATTTAAGAAGTGACACCCCCAAACAATTTAAATGTAAGGAGTGACACCCCCAAACAGACTTGGCTTCTCTTATCAAAGTCCGCCCACCAACTGCCTGAATTAATGATGGTGGGAATATGGGCTTTACTTTATGATTACATTTCTATATTTCAATCCATTCTGTTACATCAGCATGTTCATGTTACACATGACTAACACTTAATGACGAATAACAACTAATGGTCCTATCATACAGTGGTATAAGTTAGCAATTTTTGATTGGCATGTATAAATGTCTCACCAACATTCATGGGTTGTGCCTATTACTGAAACCTAGACTTTTATATTGTTCCTTATGCTCAATTCAGTGCTCGGCAAGCATAAGTCATTTACTAAGCATCTTGGCTGAATTAAACTGAGTTGATGTAACATTATAACACTGTACTGAACGCTAGCTCTTTGTTGCCGTGGACTGCCTCCTTGGGCTCTACTTTCCTCATTTTCAGTGTGAGGCAGGTGGTCTGGGGCAGGGCTTGCCAACTCCAGGGTCTACCCAGCCCAGGTGGGTGATGTAAATGAGTGGAGACAAGTGGAAATTTTATGCACAGTGGGTAAGAGTCTCCACTGCTCAACTCCAGCCCATCTCAGACATGTAAGAATGCAAGCCTGGTCTTACCAGATCCTAATTTTTCAGGTGAAGCTCAAAATCCAGATTATTTAATCTCTCAATATTTAAATGGTGGCAACTAATTAAACACTTTCTGAAATACTGTGCTACCTGGCCCCATGTCTATATGGGCCAATATGGGTAGGAAGTCTGCAACTAGTCCAAGTAAATGTTGATTTTCAATTCATCTAAACAAGAAAGTACGGTAAAAAATCATTGATTTAAGAACATGCACTGTTGATCCAGTAATAGTTTCCAGAACTTTCATGAAGATTCCCTTTCTTAAATTACCCAGCATCCGATTATTAAAAGAAATTGTTGAGAACCTTACAGTATGTATTTCGTATGTCATCCTTAATATTGATTTCATCTTCTTTCCTACTCTCACTTCCCTTTGGACCTAATTCGCTTTTCTTATTGAATTTTATTTTAATGAACTATATATTTCTGTAAGCCCCTTAAACCCTCTCTGTAATATGACGGGATGTAAAAAGACCCCTAAAATCCCTTAATGCTGTGATTATTCATTTTCCAAGTTCCTGCAGTTACAAGACTGTAAAGGAAGCAAACGTTTCACAGTAACAGTATAGAAAACCATTCCTGAATTGTTTAGAGCAGATGGACTCAGTCTAGAGTCTGTAAAACAGGGAATAATACACATAACTACTGCAAGGACTCCAGGCCAGCCTGTCTTCCTATTGACTACAGATTTCTGAAATTAACTTTTCTGGTAAAAAATGAATATTATCTTTATTTATTTATGGGAATGAAAAATCCCAACAAACAAAATCTCAGGTGATGTGAGGTGGCCAACATGAAGTGAAAATATTCGCCACTGACTTTTCCTACTCAGATGAAAAAACACGTTTTTCTACTCTACATAAAAAGCACAACAACTCTGACAACTGAGAAAATCAGAAGACAGCATTTGACTAAGTATGACATTAATGAATCATCTACACTCTGCAACTGCTCAGAATCAGCGAGAACATCATTTCTGTTTGCTCCTCTCAGAGTAGATGTTGAATGGGATTTAGCCTAAACTGAAGAAGGAAGGCTAGGAAAATTCCTATGACTTCTTGTGAACTGCAGGTAGGCTTTTTATCCCCTTTTTTAATGAAAAAGTACACAGAAGGCATACATCTAACCAGAGGTTCTAATGGTACCATCAGGATGGAAAATTGATAAAGAAGAAAATTCTATAACATAAAAAAATCCAATATTTATATCTTGTTGTTACTAGTGAAATATCTGCATAACACAGACAATCCTGAGATCCAGGCTTCTCACAGCTTACTTAGAGCAACAATCCTTAGCATAATAAAATTCCAAAAAATAAAATAATTTAGATAATTCCCTGGAATTGATTGTAATGGCTCTGACCTATATAAAATATTCCAGGATAAGTCCTTAATCGTTCACTAAATTGAATATAAGGAATGAAAATAGACTGTGGGTAACCCTGCAATCAATCTCGCTCTCTCTGTCTCTCTCCTTCCTTCTGAAATACAGCCATTAAACAAAAATTACCTATAATGACAGAAAGAAGCGGGGGTGCCGGGAAATTCAAAGACCAGCTGCTTGGCTGCCAGGCCCATCTCTATACTCCGCTTCTGTGATTATCAAGCACTAACACTTGTTGCTAGGTGCTTTCTCCTGATCTAATTTAATTGCACCATTCAATGAGGTGGGAATTCTCGCTATAATATTACAGGTGAAGAAATCAAGGCTCGGCGAACAGAAGAAATTTCCTCGGGTTCACCCAGCTAGAAAAATGGGAAAGCCAAGATCTGAACTCCAGCCTGCCTGTCACGGGCGTCCATGCTGTCACTGTGGAATTACGTGCTTCCCTGAGAGCAGGGGAGTTTTAATCTTGGAAGGTCTACAGAGATGGAAAGAAACAGTCGGTCTGGCTACCAGTGAGCTGGGTTGGGGTTCCAATGAGACTACAGGGCTTCTAGAAGCACTCAGACCACCGCTGACACAGGCACCGTGACACACAGCTCGTCTCCCTTCACAATCTTGCACACAGCAGCAGGGTGAGCAGTCCTCTCGGTTTTGTTCATGCCTCAGGACTCTCCCACCTCAGCCATCAAACAACTGGACCCCCAACTTAGATGTGAGGCGCCAACCCTTTGTCATGTCTAATCGTGAGTGACTTAGTTAGCTGTGCAGGGTAAGTCTCAACGTGTGAAGCACTCCAGATACTAAGGAGAATAGTTCTAAATGAGAATTTATTTTTAACGGACTCTTAACTGCAGCCTCTCCTTAACTCAGTACAGTGGTTTCTTAGCTTGTGAGGGGACTGAACCTGACTTCCAGCGTCACACACTGATAAGTGCTGCTGACTCATGTATAAATACCCTCTTCGTGGGTAAATATTTAACAGCTTGCTGCTACAGCCTGAATGCTGCCCTGATCATGCTGAATAAACAAAGTTAAGTGCCATGAAATAAAAGAGCTATTATGTTTTTAAAGGGCGCAAGATGGAGGTAAGGCCTTGTGTTTCTAATTATTTAATATTCATGAATCAAAAAATATGGGGCTGAGCATGTCCAACAGAAAGCTCCCTCTGTGCGGAGATTCCAGGACACACTCAGCTATCCCCAGGAATGCAGGGCTGGCTGAAGAGAAGGCAGGGCCTGAATAACCCACTAAGTGGCTGAGTTGGGGCTGGGGGGCGGGGGGAGAAGGAGATGAAAGCGACCACTTGCTGTTGATTCTTCTGATCTCTAGAGCGGTGCAGTGAGAAAGTGGGGGTAAAAGGTAAGGAAAAGTAAACTGGTGTGGCCAAGTGTCAGGCTGAACTTGGGAGGAGAGAGAGAGGTAAAAAGGGCTGTCTTGAGAAAGTACTTTCTATCTCTATTATGGACCAAAATGAAACAGGAAATTAGCTGATAATTCTTAGAACTGAAACTGTAGATAGAAACTAGAAAGACAAGGCCAGAGTTTGAGAAGCCTTTCCAACAATGGAGATCAACAGCTCAAAAGGTAACCAGAAAAGCATGTCCAGGTCTGTCTCGTTGGCTCTAAAAGTCAAATGCAGGAACTGCCCATGTTAAATGTATTAATGCTATTGTTTTCCGTGCAAATACAGCTCATACAGCCTTTTGTGAACATTGCTCTGTCTGCAGATATTCAGAGTGTCTAACACTGAAGACGTGCCCTGGCTATCACGCTATAACAGAAAAGTATTTTTGAGCATTTTGACTTGAAAAAAATGGAGGGAGTCAGCCGTCTGAAAGCTTAACCTGGGACAATGGCATTATGATTTGGGCCCATTAAGGGATAGCAACTGTCTCTTCCCTCTGTGGGGTGCTACCTTACTGGACAAATAAAAATGAGCAAAACATCATTTGGCACTGGAGAAAACCAGAAAGGCCAGTGATTCTCAATTATAGTTCTTGCTTCTGCCAAGTTTGCTCTTTGGTTCTACTCCACGTTCTCAGGGCAGTGGGGATAACACTGCTCTCAAAAAGACCCAGCTCTCTCAGTGATGAAAGGTTTGGAGTAACAATTAGAGTTCCACTAATATTAAAATAGCACCAAGCACTCCAAGGGAGACTTTATCCTACAACGCGTCTTGCTTGAGTGTTCTGTGTGTCCAAGGGTTACATCAAGGCGCTGTAGAGACGCCTGGATCAGCCTTAGTGTCCTGCGTGCCCTTTGAATCGGGCTCTGAGGGAGAGGAAGTTGACCTGGTTGCCTCCTCCACAGTATGATTCAGGGGAGTGTTGGAAGTTAAAGCACGGAAATGGGGAACTTCCAGGGTAGGTGGACACAAGCTGCCACTAGCTCTCAAGCTAAGAGAGAGCCTAAGGAAGGTGAGCCTTCAATGCAGTTCAGCTAACACTAACTCTATGCCTAATTCTGTTTAAAGTGTTGAGTTTCCCATTCTGACTATGTGACTAAGGCACTATTTCAAGGTAGAGGAATGCCAGCGACCTCAAGAATCTGGGGCACTTTATGATGCCAGAGGATGTTTCCTGGTGGCCAGCCAGGAGAGCCATTACAATAAAACGAAAGTCACTGTTATTTATTGAGTAGCCACTTTTGCCAGGCACTTGGCTAGGCATTTCATTATCTCTAAACCTCACAACCACCCTGCCAAGGAGACTTAACTGGTCCAATTTGCAGATGAAGAAACTGAGGTTCAAAGAGTCTAAGTATCTTGTCCAAGATGCAAAGATGGGCTTTAATCCCAGTCTTTCTGGTTCCAAAGCCTCTGTCCTTTTCCATTAGAAATCTTTCATAGAAAGATGGTGTGAAGTTTTAAAAACTCTAATCTGCCTATATACTGAAACAGTG